CTGCCATCCTGTTCTCCCAGCCACTGGAGTCTTCCTCTCTTCTAGAATCAGATGCTCGGGGTCTCCCTTCATCTGTGGCCCTTCCCCATGCTCCCAGAAAAAGGTGTTGAAAACCATGGAACAAGAAGAAGACAAGATGTCACAATGAGAATTCCACATCTGGGCAAGAAAAACCAAGTTAAACAGAATGTTGTATCTTGGGAAAATCCTGGGAGGATGAGATAGGATCCAAAGTCTGGGACTGATAGAGACTCTCATTTGTCTGTTGCATGAATTATCGGGGGTGCATTTTATTCCGGGTGTTCCTCGGAACAATCCCATGAAGGCAGAGAACTGCGTGACTAGAATGAAGCCACATGAGTAATAAGTTAGCTCCTACTGGGAGGAGTAAAAACTAGAGTTCTTTTACTGAAGACCAGGCACCTGAAAGCCATATAGAATAGAGTAACCACAAGTTCTGCCTCTATCTAAATACTTCTTTTCCTTGTGTCAAATGAGGAGCAGGGATGGTGGGGTGACAAAGTCTCACCAGTCAGGCTTCTGGAGGCTGTCCCCTAATGTGTACCTGGTTCTCCACTCTGTCTGCCCCTATAACCCCCTTGTAGCTCCCATGCTTACTCATGAAATAGGTGTCCAGGCTCACCTGTGTCTTGCAAACTCCAAAAGATTTACATCAGTATTTTCTGATCTTCTACCTCTTTTGGCTCTAATTGGGAAGGGGCCCCGTTGGTGGGTAAAAGATGATTGGAACTTCCATTCCAATCCAGCAATGGCTGAGACCAGTTTCATCCTAAATTCCTCAGGGGCAAAAACACCTTACCACACACAATCCCTGTCATGGCACGAAACCATATTCCTCCAATCAGCGTGACTTCCCCCAACTCCCGTGAAGGAAGTACCTTGCATGCTAGGGTTCCGTTCTCCCTTTCTGAGCCCGCGTCTGCCACGGTAGGACTTCCTCATCCACTGAGAACTGCTCTGTCTGAACCCTCCAGGTCATGGCACTGACCCCAGGAAGAGTATCTGTGATTACATTTTGAGTCCATTAGGAGGCATATGAAGGGAATTCATGCCATCTGGGTACTCTGGTGAGAGTCTGCTGAGAAGCACTTGGTCCAGAAGCTGTTCGTCTCAGCACGTCTCTTTTCTGGCCCAAGAGAAACTGAGCAGCTCAGAGGCAGGAGCTGCATGGCATGCAGGGTTCGCTTTCTGGGCTGTTGTCTGGGACCAGCACTTCAGCAGTCCACACTCTGGCCCGTCTGTGAGGCTGTCGGAGAAGGCCAGAGCAAGAAGGGAAGCTCCGGGAAAGGCAGGGCACTGCAGGGCAGGGCTGCTCAGATGGAAGTCCTCGGACCACTGGCATTAGATTCTCTGGGAGCGTTTGCTTGACTCGTAGGTTCCTGCCACCCCACCCCCCACCCCGCCCAGACCTACTGAGTCATGGCACGTGGCTGTCTCTTGGTGGTTCTCTGGCTTGTCTGGGATAATAAGTCATGCTCCTTACCAAACACCATGACACATTCATACACACCCTGAGGTAACCAATTGCATGGTTTAGGATGCTTGTGTGCGTGATTTAATTCTAGAGTAAGAGGTATTTAAGTCCAGTATTTTAAACTTCCTGAGAAATGATATATTCTAAATTGTCAGACAAATGGTTATGCTGGATATTCTCCTGTCTGCACCTACAGGCTTGTCCTCCCTCCTCTTCCTCCCTGTTCTATGCCAGGAAACCTGACCAATGTGGGCTAACTCAACAGGCAGCCTGGCCCACCAGCTTCTGCCTGGGTTTAGCCAATGGGTGGCATGAAAGGCCAGCAGTGGATGGGAAGAGAATGAGGTCATGGTTTTTCTCCTCTGGGTTTCCTCTCTATGGAGTAGCATGGGAGGCTGAATTCCTCTATTAAAGGCCCTTTAAAGCCCCTCACCAAACAGCTACTATATCCAAGTCCAGGGCCCCTTTAGGCCTAGAGGTGGTAATGACTCACCAATGCCACCAGCCTCAGTGTAAATTCTGCCCACACTTTAATCAAACATTTCTTAATTACCCAGTTTCAGTGAGCCACCTATTTCTTACTGCGACCTTATCTGATACAGTAGCAGTGTGTGGTTATATAGGCCTTGGAATTAAACCAGGTTTGAATCCCAGCTTGGCAATGTCCTTTAACTATGTTTGATCTTGGGTGGCTTGGTCTCTGACCTCAGTCTGAAAACATTCCTTTTTGCCTCAATGGACGTAATAACCAACACTAGTCATGATTCCTGATGCCAACAGCTGAATGCAATTCTGGCTATCTTAAGCAGCTGTGGAATTTTAAACTATCAGTAACTTACAGCGTTGATGAGAAGGCTGGAGGACTGGATTTAGACAATGGCAGAAACTGAAAGAGGATGTGTTACTGGAGATGTGTCCTTGGTCTTGTTGAATGGATGCAGAAAAGCCACTGAGCAGTAAGAGTTTATTTTGAGCAAGTTCAAAGAAAAGAGAGAGTCCTCACCTGGAGAGCTGGATATTGTTCTCTGTGTGACCCCTCTCTAGGTTGGGTCACACAGAGAACAATGGGGCAATGAATATTCACTAAGTAAGGTTGCAAAGAACAGGTGGAGTCTAAACTGTCACAGCAGGGAAGGTGTGGTTTTTACTATGCTAATAATGGAGGGGTGTGATTTTTACTACAGTAATGGATTTTGGGGAGAAGTTTGGGTCAATTTCTCTTCCATGTTGGAACTAGCCAGTTTTTGCCTGTCTGTTATCTATAGTCTCCCTCCATATCCCATGGGAGTAGCTTACACTGAATTTGTAGAATATAAGCAATCATCTAGCTAAACGTACATGGGCTGAAGTCCTCCTCCCGGCTCCCTGCTCATGTCTGGCTATCTACTACTATAACAAATGGACAGCAGAGGCCACAGCTGAGGTTATAGCATGAGCTAATTAAAGGTTCTGATCCCCAGTTAGAATTCTGTACCCAATTCCTATGTGTGAGTTGGTGGAGGGGTTTTCCACACCAACAAGCAGGTCTTGGACACCAGCTAGGTGTCCTTCAATTCATTTCAATTCTGACACTATCTACCCAGAGGTAGCATCGGACCCCAAAAGGCTCAGTCACACAAAACCCCTCTCCCGTGCACCCACTTCAGAAGCCAGTCACAGCACAGTTTCCATAGGGACCAAGCCACCGTAGGAACCAAGGGTGGGCTGCCCCAAGATGTGCCATTGTGACATGCAGATAATTTTGAGCTAAAAAACCATCAAGGCACAAAAGACTCAGGAAGATACTGTGAGCTGCCCAGCCCCACACAACAGCATAAGGAACTCAGATGGAGGAACTGCTCCAGAAGAAGAGCCATTGCCGCAGCAACTATATTATAATGTAAACTAGGGGTGTTAGGGAGGACGTGACATGTTAAAATTCTTCTCTTGTACCCTATTGTTTCTGTGTGACTCATCAAGTATTTTGTTTGCCAAACCTTTACTCTTTTCATATTCCTGTGAATTACTTCCCTTGTCCTTTGAAGTCTCAGATCCCTTCCCCCTTCTTGATTCTGGATAACAGACGTGTCACATTCACCCTATCTTGGAATCCATGTCTGTAGCTTTCCCATATGTATGTAATTAAACTTTGCTTTTTTCTGTCTTGTTACTCTGTCTTATGTCCATTTGATTCTTAGACCAGCTAGAAGAACTTTGAGAGGCAGAGGAAATATCTTCCTCCCCAGTACCACCAAGCACTCACCACAGTGGTATTCCTAGACTCTCAATGCTTAAACTGCCTGTGTGTAGGTCATCTCCATCTGGCCCTGAACCTTGTAGTACACCCTTAGAATCCAGAATCCTGGGTAGAATCTTGCATTTGGCCAAGCTTAGGCCAAGTCACATGCCTGCCACGTAAGTGCCAAGGAGAAGGAGCAGGAAAGATATCTGCCTCCATACTCAATAGAAGGAGAAGCAGAGACCCATACATTGGGGAATGTCCCCCAAATGGGAAAGGTATTGGACACTGGAGAGTGTGGGTAAAATAGTGCATCTCCATATCAACAGGTGTTTCCAAGGGGTGAAGAGAAGTAGTCCGTCTCCATATCAATAGGTAATTACAAGTGAAGCCAGGGCACATCTGGACCAGAGAGGTTGGGTGGGACCCCTTTATCTACAGCTGGGTCGTGAGAGATACGAGTAAGCTAAGGTGGATGACTGCTTGTAAGCAATAAACAGGTTTCTCCCACTTTATTTCTCTCTCTGACTGATTTTGGTTCAGTGGTATTTTGCCCTGGGATTTTCCCCCTGGAGTTACAAGAGCCAAAAGATGGCAAATATCCATTACACAACTTTCCAGAGCTGAGAGGATTAAGAGAGTAACTTGAGTAAAGCACCTGGCACAAAGTAGACTCCAGTCCGAGGTAGGTTCGCCTTGTACCATTATATTTGTGGTCCCCAGGCCTGTGGCTACTGGAAGCACACACACAGGCAGAGTTCCAAATGCCTCAGGGCCCACCGACCTCACATGGAGCATGTGCAGGCATTGTCTATTTGCACCACTTGCCTCAGAATCACCTGGAACTCTAGTTAAAATGCAGATTCCTTGGCCCTCTGCAGACCTACCAAATCAGAATTCTGGGACTGGAGCCTAGGCATGTGTTTTTTGGCCAAGCTTCCTGAGTGATTCAGCCGCATGCCCGCACTTGCGAACCATGGTGTGGAGTAAGATGAAGGAGGCTCATCAGGAAGGTTTGAACTGGGCCTTGACGGCATGCCGGATCTGGGCACACAGTATCATTCCAGGCAGGGAGAATGGCAGGGGGGCTTGCAGGATGTAGTGGTCAGAGGTCATTGGTAAGATCATTGTGGTGGCCTGAGGAAGTGAGTGGAGCAGAGGTGGGACATCAGATGGGCGGCATTGGGCTGCTGTGGTGGAGAATGGGGAGCTATCGAGTGTTGCCCAATGCAGCTGTGACGTAAGGAAAGCAGGAAGGAAGATGTCCCAAGGACAGTGATCTCTCTTTTCTCCTTCTGCCTCTTTTCCTGAGCTGCTTCTTCTCATCACACGCCTTCAGGGTTTCTTAACTGCAAAGGAAGAGTCAAGCCTCTTAGGGAAGATGGAAAACACCCATGTAGGGTAACATTTTCCACCAACTAGAAGAGGTCCTGGGATAACCAACCCCACCAGATCCAGAAAGCGGGATAGAATGGAGGGCGCAGGGCCCTGGGGGTGGCCATGCCTACTGCTGCTGCTCAGGGTCTCAGGTAAGGAGAGGCAGAAAGAGGGACGTAGACGCCTCAGGTGGTCTACCTCTATCCTGAGGGGTCTGAACCTACTTAAGAAGGGTGTATCTCACTTCCTTAGGAGTGGCTAGAATAGGATCAGATTATGTGCTAGAGACAGAAAAAGGAAAAAGAAGGTAAGGATGCAGACTGTGCTAGTTGGCTGTGTCTCATCAGGGGCTGAGCAGTGAAAAAGAAGCTGGAAGTTTCTCTAGTGCATCTTGAAGTTGAGAAAATTGGGTGAAGTCAACCAAAGGATCTCTCATCTCTGGGCCAATATCCTGGAGATGTGAAAAAAGTGTAAGGCAAAGTCTTCCCTTAAAAGAATCAGGCACTGAGGTAGAGGAGGTGTTAGTAGAGAAAAAGGTAAATAACAATAAAATGGCCAACTAGCAACAAGAAGGCAAGAATAGAGTGGAAGTCACTCTAGTGTGGCACAGAGAGAGAATGTGGAAAAGAGGTTAAGGGTTCTGGAGTCAGACAGAGCTGGGTTCAAATCCTATCTCTGCCACTTTCTACATATGTGACCTGAAGAAGTTCTCTCACCTCTCTGAGCCTCAGTGTGCTCATTTGAAATAGTACCTACTCAGAAGTATTCATTTGTAAATGGTTAGCCTCAGACTTAAACAGCAAACTGACATAAAATGCTTAGCTCCGTACTTAGGGCACAGTAAGTGCTTAAATAAAACTTATGGTGGGTGGTGATGATGATGATGCTATAATGAGGTGAAGGGTGGTCAGTGGTATTGAGGGTCAAGGGCAGACAGTGATTAGTGCCAGCTGGAGCTGGAACTGCTCGGGTAGACTACCCAGTGGGACCCAATGGGAGGGATATAGGTGGAGGAGAGTGGGATGAGCATTCAACTTGGGGTACCATAAGAGTACATAAGAGTACCATGTGCCTGGAAGCAAGAGTTATGTCTCAGGAAAAAAGTAGAATAGAATATGGGCAATAAAACTGGTTAAGTTCTCTTCTAATTTTTTTAACCTTTTTATCATGAAAAATTTCCAGTCTACAAATATAGAAAGAATAGCCACCATGAACTCATCATTTAGATTGAAACATTTAACCATGATTGATATTTTTCTTTATTTGCTCCATACATGTATATACTGCTGATACATATCACATGTATCCATATACATCTATATGACATATATATATGTCATATTACATATATATACAATGTTAATCTTAAAAATAAAACTGTCAGTTATTTTACCAGCAAAAGATGGTTTTATCCAGGAATAGCAGAGAATTGTAACTTGGGACATGCAAGCTATGGCAAAACCAAAGGCAAGTCTGGAGAATGAAGGAGAGGAACATTATTTTATAGAGGAAAGGGGGCTTTGGGAGGAGCTCTTGACAGAAAGTCCATTGGAGTCAACTGGGGAGTTTAGAGCGTCGTGGCTTTTCGCTGGCTGAGTTGTGACAGTCTCTCATTGATTGGGCTATTGCTGGGTGAGGAGAAATTCTTCCTTCCTCCTGCTGGAAAGAAAATCATAGGCTTCTTCCTGTTGGAATGCAAGATACCTTTTTTTCTGCTGGGGTCTGCAGTTGAGAACAGGGGTAGGGGATGAGGGCTTTCCCTCTGGCCTCCTGACTCTATGTTAAATGAGGTTTCCTTTTTAAATTTTCACAATATAAAATAACTGAACCACTTCAGAATAATTCACAGAAACCCTACATTATGTCTAAATGTTTGATGGAGCCGCTAATACTCTTGATCTGTGATCTTTTATGTACAGTGTGGTCTGTGGATGTTGGGGTAGTGGACAAAACATTTGCTCAGTGAAGCCCTTTGCCTTCTTGTTCTAGGATTCCAAGCTGTAGACGAAGAGGAGAAACAAATATACCTACAAGAAGGAAGAAATCTGACCGTGTCCTGTGTTTACAACATCATGCTCTTCTCCTCCAGCCTGAAGGCTTGGCAGCGGGTGGAGAGCCAGGGTCCTCCAGAGACTCTGGTGCACACGAGTACTAGAAACCTAAGCCTTAACCAGGCCTGGGCCGGGAGATACCTGCTGGAGGATAGACCCAGTGATGCCATAATGATGGTCACCATCACAGAGCTCCAGCCTCAGGACTTGGGGCTGTACCAGTGTGTCATTTACCTGTTGCCTCAGAACTTTCATCTTCTGCTTCCTCGGATACGGCTGACACAATACAAAGGTGAGCAGCAGCAAGACCTGGACAGGGAAGGGACTTTACAGAGGCTGACCTTCTTAGCCACATCTGGGGCCCCATCTTCCATGAGGGCTGCTTGGAGAGATAGCCCAAAGTCAGGGGAAAAGCTCTAGAAGGGAAGTCAGTGCCCCTGGGCCTGCCATGCTCTCGCTTTGTAACTTCGAGAAAGTCATAGCTCCTCTCTGGGTCTCAGTTTTATCACCTGTTAAGAAAGTTGGAGTAGATGATCTCAAAAATCCTCTTTCTCTATGACAGAGAACCTGCTAGAAGAACCAAATAACTGAGCATCGATTATGTGCCAAGCATTTAGCTTGCTAATTTCTCTGCTGTGGAATAAATGTGGCTGCCTCATTGTAAGAGGGAGGGAGGCACAAAGAGGCTAAGATATTGTGTCTTTCAGCAGATTCGTGGTGCAGCTGGGATCCTACAGAGACCCATCTGATTTGATTGTCCTTGGTAAACCCTGGGAATGGGCCCTGTTTGGCCAGTAAAAAGCTGTCCCTTTTCTCAAGGGATTTAGAAAGTAGCAGATGAGAAATGGATATTGGAGAGCAAAATGAAGGGCCTTTTGCTGATCTTGAGTTGCTTCTTGCTGCAGGGGGCACCGCCAGTTCTCACCATCTTTTATTGGAAAGCCTGGTTATCCATGTGGGGAGGCCAAGTGAGGATGGTAGAGCCCCGTGCATCTGCCTCGAGCTTCTCAAAAAACCTCCTTTTGCACCAGCAAGTTGGGGAGGCGTCCACCACGTAGGACTCCGCTTGTCTGCTTCCTGCTGACCCGAATATGTGACCATCAGGACTTGGCTGGGCTTAACTTGAACTTTACAGTATCTGAAAATAAAGACCAAGCAAAATGACAGTGTCATAGGCAGGACTGTAGGGAAGCTACTGAACCCACATAACATAACTCAATCATTCCTCCATACTTTAGAAACATCCAGAAATGGATGTTTCTGGTTACAAAGGATCTATGCAGTCAGTTAAACAGCACCACCACCCTCTAGTCAGGAATGTTCTATTAATCAGACTATGTATCTATACACTGTGAAAGTCCTAAAACCATAGTGCTTTACAGAGGTAAGCAGGGCTGTCACAGGGTAATGGGAAGTGCTCTGGCCTAGGTTTCCATTCCCTTTCTACCCGGAGCACACTCAGTGACTTTGAGGAAGTCCCTCACCCTCTTCTAGGCTTTCCCCACTGTGACATTCAATGGCTACAGTTCTCTGGGTTCCTCTGAGTTTATTTACTGAGTTCAGAGAAACAAAGGCCTTATATTTTGCATTTGGCAAAACTGGTCCACTCCAGGCATGGGTAGACAGCTTGGGCCCACCAGATCTGAATCCATCACTCAATAGTTGCCTGGCTCTTTAACTCAAATCTTAATAAAGACAACAAGAAAAGTAACTGAGGACAGCCTATACTATTGCAGGAGAACTGTGTATGTAATTATTTTCATCAAACTACAAATAACAGGCAGCAGAATTTTGACAGAAGCTTCGTATTGCTTCTCTCTAGTAACTGAAGAAAACTTTAGGCAAATGTGGCTAAGGGAACTGAGTCTAGTACAGATTGTTCCTGCCTGAAGGAATTAGTGGTTATATGGGGAAACAAGAATATAGTCCTCTGCAAAGGATACTTGCCATAATTACTGAGGCTGTGTAGACAGGAAAGAGCAGTCAGGAAAACAGTGAATGGAGAAGGTTTCATTCTGGGGTGTTGGGCCTGCCTGGTGATAAATGGATCCTTTTTAATTTTCCCTTCACTTTTCCAAGTGGGGAAGGGCATGGCAGTGCTGGACCACAGAGAGAGACTTATATTTGGAGGTGAGGGATGTTGTTCACCCAACCCCACTGTAGGAAGAGAGGATTGAAATGGGGACTTAAGGGAAGAGAAGGTACACTGTGGAAGACAGGAGAAAGGTTCCCTGCTTACTGCACAAGCTCCATGATGGGTGAGAAGCAAGAACATAGGGCCCTGTTGTGGCATGATGAATGGGCCATTTGACTGTGGTAGGCTGTGTGGAAAATTAGGCCAGGCTCTGAAGGCTGAGACCAGCAAGACAGCAAAGAAACACACAGGAGTGGAGTCAGGAGACATGAGTCCCAGTGCTGGCTCTGCTGCTGTCTATCGAGTGACCTTGGGCAGTCCTTGTCCACCCTGTTCCTTGGAGGTTTGGACTGGATGGTGTTGAATGCTCCTTCTTCCTTTGACCTTCTGGGATCCTGTGAACCTTTCTCCCATTAACAGAGTACAGGCCCATGATAATGAACTTAGAAGAGGGCTGTTCAGTGTGTAGGAGAGGAAAAATTGTTCCAAACATCTTGGATGTCCCTCTCCTGCTCAGATTAAGTCAGCCAGTTTGAGCAGGCAGCCTGGCAAGCTCAGGGTATGCTATCCCATCTTCGTCAAGCATAATCCAGGCACCTAGTAGGAGCCCAGTGGGAGCTGAGGTCCTAAAGAGCTTTTTACCTCTTGCAGAAAATGGCACCAGCTCAAGAAATCCTACTCCAAAAGGCAATCCGGACTCAGGGTGAGTCGTGTCTGAATGAGAGTTGCCACACAGAGGTCAAAGCAAAGCAGAGTTATCACTTGGGGACCACCTGGGACCCCCAGTTCATGTCCCGCATGAGAACTCCAAAGGGCCAGGCTGAACCACATGGAGGACTTTATCCTGCTCCAGACAGGCCAAGGGAGTCTAGAACCCCAGCAGGCAGAATGACCTTTGCTTCTATTTCTATCCAGAAGCCCTAATGCAAGCCTTGGGTGTTATTACTTCAACACAGCCAAAGTCTTAGCCACCCGCCCCAGAGGAAAGGAACAGGGGGGTTGGGAGCTAAGATCATACAGGCATGTTAGAGCCCTGCCAGTAATGCATCCCCTGAAAACGTGGCCCAGGTGGGAATGGAATCTGAGCAATCAGCAGCCTCTTCCTTGGAGTTAAGTAATGGGATCAACAGAAGTCCTTCCCCACTCAGAGCTGCTAGGGAGTGGTGGCCAGAGGTGGGTATCAAGGGGTGGGTATCAGAGAGTGCCACCTGGAGGAGAAGAAGCTCTAAATGTAGGAAAGGGGTGGCATTCCATGCCAGGAGCAGTGTGTGGGAATACGTGTCTGCAGTGTGTTGGACACAAAGGTAGACAGTTCGGCTGAGTGGAGAGGAGATGGTAAGGTTAAAGCAGGACCTTAAATTCAGATTGCAGAGAGCCTTGAATGCCATGCAGTCATGTGCACTTTGTCTTGTAGGCAGTGGAGAGCATGAAGGGTTTTCTCTGGGCCCCTTGAGTGGAAGAGTAAGGGTCTCGGTGCAAAGGGGCCCAGTAGCTGTGTGCAGGAGGGATTGGAAAAGGGAGGTAGCAGAGGCAGGAGACGGAATAGATTCCTTTAGGGTAAAGACAGGGTTGAGGATCATGGGAAGAGCAGAGGCCCGTCTTCAAAGGGTGTAAACTCCTGCTTGGCTGCTTTCATGGCCAGGAGGCTGGGAGCAGGCTGAGCCTCAGAGCAGTGCACTCAGCAGACACTCGCCCTTTTGGATTCAGGTTGCTTGCCCCTGACACAGGCCTGCAGGTGCTGATTATTGTTCTGACATGTGGATTCATCCTGAATAAAGGCCTGGTGTTCTCAGTCCTATTTGTCCTTCTCCAGAAAGGCCTCTGGTAAGTGGGAGAGGGTGGGTGGACCAGGCTTGGGTGGATGAATGAGGGGACACAGACACGACTGTAGAGGGACCATCTCCCAGGGGCTCCCCAGAGCTGTCCCTGACTTTCGTCACGTTTCTGCTCAGGAGTCCTTGGACAGGAGGCAGGGCCAGCCCCAGGAACCGTGTGAATGAGGCTGGGTTGGGCTCCCCAGGACGGAAGACCTGGAGGTGGGGGGACGGGGTGAGGCTTTTTGCTGCTTGGCCTTCCACTCTTTTCTTCAGAGGAGTGGGGAGACTCAAACTTGGGCTGGCATGGATGGATCGTTTTCAAATACTGTTCATTTCTCTCACTCCTCAGGTGAGGCAGCCTCTTAACGAGCCCCCAGGCCAAGGCAAACCCAGGGAAGCTGCAGACTCACCTGCGGAGCCACAGGCACGCCCTCCTCCCCCAGCACATTTCACATTCCATTCTCCATTCGGTGGGAAATAAAATGCTTCCTGTACTTTTGTGGGATCTCTGCCCAGCCCCTCTCTTACCCAGAGGGGATGGAACAGTAACAAGCAGCCAGATGTGGAGAGTGGGGTAGAAGGAGACTGGGGGAAGTAAGCAGAGCCAAGGGAGTGACAATATATTTCTGCTTTAAATGCAACACCTGGGACTCCCAAACTATGGCTCAAATGAACCTAATACTCGTTTCCTTCCTGCTGTTCAGACTTGCTCTGCTGGAGACTTTTGGCTCTCCAGGGAAACCTAGGGCAAAACCCATCACTCTTCCGGTCATTTAAAAAAAAATACACCTTATTGTTTAGAGTAGTTTTAGGTTCACAGCAAAATTGAGAAGACAGTACAAAGGTCCTCTATAGTCTCTGTCCCTACACACGTGCAGCCTCCGCCACCATCAACATTGTGCCCCAGAGCAGTTTGTTACAGATGATGAACTATGTGGACATGTCATCATCACCCAAAGCCCATAGTTTACACCAAGGTTCACTCTTCATTCTGTGGGTCTGAACAAGTGTATAGTTACAAGTACCCACCTCTGTAGCACCGTACAGAGTAGCTTCATACCCTAAAAGTCCTCTGTGTTCCACCTATTCACTCCAACCCTTCTATTCATTTTTAAGCAGTAAAAAAGTTCATTCTAAAAGTAGCTTCAGTTCAGTTTGGGAAAAAGTTTCATTTAAAATGAAATCTCCAAAGCCTCTAGATTTATCACCCTATTAGAAGACAGAAGGGTACAGGTCAGTTTTCCTGTCTTCGCCATCAATACTTTCGGTTGCAGCTTCTGACTCCTCCAGGCCTGAGCAACGGAAAGGGGAAGAGGAAAACGAAGGGAGCAGGCAGGGTCTTACCTAACAGCACTGATCTGAGGATTGGTGGGTTTCTCTCCTAGCCTGCTGTGGGCTCCACCCCTGTCTGTCACCTGCCATTTCTTTGACACAAGCAACTGTGTGTGTCTTTTGACTGGTTGCTTCTGACTTCCCCTTCGGTCTCTGAGCATCAGGCAGGGGAGGGGTGCAGAACATGCCACCTGAGAACATTGCCTCTTTGGCAGGAGGATTATTTTGAGAAACATCAGACACAGGAGAAGCTCTGAAAACAGAGTTAACCTTTTGTGAAGGAAAGTTACATTTATGAAGGAAATCTCCATTTGTAAGCATGTCTCCCTCTCTGTGCCAGTAAGAGAAGGATGACTTTAAGCCACAGGAGAATCTTATCACTACCTTAAACCTGCATAAATAACTTTATCCTTGTTTATCATGCTTTTCCTGGTTATCTCCCCAGGAATGGCTTCCCTACTCCTCTTTTGTCTTTAGCTGAAGATGACATTTAAACTGGAGTTCTGAGCCATGCTGGGAAATTACTCACTTTTTTTCCTGGGTATCTCCCATGTATACATAAGGGATATATGTTAATAAACTTCTGTTGTTTTTCTCTTGTTAATATGTCTTTTATTACAAGGGTCTCAGTCAAGAATTCGCAAAGGAAATGACTTTCCTCTCCTGCATCAGTCATTTTCCAGCTTCCTTCCTCCCAACTCCCTCCATTCTCAGGTTCCCTTTTGGACACTATCTGTGACAACCCATGCTGGCAGTCTCACATCTGGTCTGTGAGAAATACCCACTGCATTCACCCCAACAGATTCATGGAGCCCTGGCGGGGACCCATAAGCCACCTTTGCTTCTTTCCACCATTGGGACAGCTAGTTACCAGAAGTCTCTGCTATTAAGCTCTCAGGCTTGAGTCAATGTAGTCCAAGAGGAGGGGATTCCCCACGCAGGGCAAGTTCCCTATCAACCGTTGAGACAGAAGGAAAACAAGGGCTCAGAAGTTGGGAATGAAAGGGCTTATTCTCATGGCTCAGTCTCCCCTCACTCACACCAGCAGCTCTTTCCAGCACCACTTGGGACACCCTCTCGCATGGCTCCCAAGCTCTTGGCTCCCAAGGTTTCTGCTCCCGAGCTCTCTTGCTTCCAAGCTCTCTCTCCATCCCTGGCCATACTGTTCTGCCTCCCTCCCACACTGGGAGAAACTCTGTGAGTGGGTCACTGGTGACTGGTGGGCGCCTGGCCAATTACATACCAGGAACAAAGGGGAGAATGGGTGATTCCTCTCCACCCCTGCCCTGGACTGGCAATTCGTTGCTGGTAAACATCCCATAAATGTGCAAACATGCTCTTATTGTATACACAGTGAGTGCTATTAAAGCCACGTGGGAATCCTGGTAAGAAAGTTCCATTTTCCCCACAGTCAGATGCCAGTCTTCTATGTCTCTCAAACTGCCATGGACATTAAACAAGCTCCCCAAGTTGTGACCTTTAAGTTTCTTTCCCTACGCTGGAGGTAAGGGGCATAGGACACCAAAACTGTCTCCAAAAATCCTCTCCTAATCTTAAAAATTCCCACAGCTTTGTACCCTTGATGCAGGTGAGGCATAGACATCGTTTTGTGCATTCCACACTGGTCTCCCATTGCAATCTGGAGCATGATGTGTGTTTCTTAGGACTTGCTTCAAGTTAAGATTCAGTTGCAGACAGCAAAATCCAATATACCTATTTTAAGTAGAAAGGTAGTTTTTTAATAGAATGTTAAAGGATTTATAGAATCAGATCTTCCTCTGGGCTGCTGGGAATAATTCATTGCTACACCACAGGGGTCACTAACCCTGAAGAACCAGAAAACTTTTCAAATCAGCAAGTTAGCAGCATAGCTTCTGGTTCCATAACCACCCCATCCCCACCACAATGGATGCCTTGTGCATCCAGCAGCATGGATGCCTTTCTTCCCTCTCAACTCAGTTCCAAATTTAAGCCTCACACCAATGTATTTGATTGCTGGGGTCTAAGTCATATCTGGAACCCCAGCTGCAAGAAAATCTGAGAAGTGATTTTGCAGACATTTTACTAGAGAAAGGCCCATGAGAAGGAGGCAGGATGGAAGCTGCGTAAGTCCACAGCATCTGCCCAGACAATCTCAGCTAAAACTGAGGTTGAAACAGTTCAAATTTTAAAGTTTTGTTGTTGTTTTACTGTCAATGAAAGACAAATTAAGGGAAAAACAATCAATCATTCTTTGTTGTGTTATGGCAAACACATCTGTTGGCCTACTCTAAAGTTATGTTATAATAATAAGTTCCTATTTACCAAAAACAATATATTGGATATGATTATGTGCTACATATCATCCTGATGGCATAAAAAGATACAGACACAGAAAAGAGATACCTGTTTTTCTGTTGTTCCAAAATGTATGGCACTTTTATTGAAAACTTCAGTACACTAGAGAAAATGGCTGTTATCTCCCATCATAAAATATTGACTTTATTCCTGG